CTGCCTCAGAAACCCAGGGAGGGGTTTCTCTGAGTGAGGTCCAACTCTATGGTAGGGGGTTTGGTTTAGTTTGGTTTTGGGTGGTGTACACAGTTAAGCACTTGACTACTAACCGAAAGATTGGCAATTGGAACCTTCCCAAGGGTACCTCCCAAAAAAGGCCTGGCAGTTTGCTTCTGAAAGATCTCAGTCACGGAATACCCTCCAAACACAGTTCCACTCTGAAACACATGAGGTTGCCATGAGTCAGAATCAATTGAAAGCAAGCGGTTTGGCTTAATATGCAGCCAAAAGAAAATGTAGAAAACATGCAGCAATATTTTTTTTCTGATGGTTTAAAGAACAAGAAAGTGAACAAAAATATATGTGGGAACTGCAGGATAGTACTGCAGATTAATGGGCAAGGTGAGGAGATGGCAGGTGGAAACAGGCCATCAAACGCAAGATGGCACAGGCAGGACCAGTAGTCTGTCAGCAGATTTCTCTAAAGAGGCCATAAATTACCTTGCAAAGCCTTACAGAGGTTTGCCACATAACAAGAAGAAGGTCATTAGCACAAAGTGTGTTTCTCATATGATTCTCCTATGAATGGAACATAAATCACCAGTTAATCAGTATGGTTAATTTTCTGGGTGAGCTCCAATTTCAAAGATTCTGTGTGATTATCAATTACATGTTATGATCACATGTTCGGATTTTGCTGATGGAAGAAATAAAATAACTATATTTATATCAAGTATTTTCTTACTGAAAGGAGATAGAGAATCTTAAAGTATGTGCCAAAAAAAGGTAAATTGCAGATCTTCTATTCAAATAAGACTAAAGGCGACATGTACCAAAAAAAAAAAAAGTGAAGAAAATAGGCAAGGAAATATATACATAGAGATGGTTGGAGAAACCAAAAATGATGTAAATTGAGCTGAAACAATTTTTAGAACTCCTTAAAAGCTGGGTAAATGAGCTGCTCAGCAAGTGGCAAGGGTGAGATTGCAGATGAGAGGAGCTCAAAAAACTAAATTCTTAGGGAACACAGAGGAAAGACAGGTTGCCCAGAGTGTTGTCGTTGCCTGCCACTGAGTCAGGAATGCAGGAATCAAACGTTGTCCAGTCCTGTGCCATCCCCATGATTGCTATGGATCAGCCCATTGTGATCCATGGGCTAATTTTTGGAAATAGATTGCCAGGCCTTTCTTCCTAGTTCTTCATGATCTGGAAGCTCCACTGAAGCCTGCTCAGTATCATAGCAACGTACATCCTCATGAACACAGTTCTCTGGGCTGCAATGCCCTAGCTGGGCCACTCTTTGCTGCCACTCCTCTCATTTTTGTCTAGATTATTTTGGGGTCTCCAGATAAGAGGCAGCCCTGGGATGGAGTTAGATTTTGGGAAATACACCCTTCATAAGGGAATGGAAAAAGTATAGCTAGTGAATTTAGAGGCTATGATTGGAGTTGGGGAGGTAGTAAAAGGAAATTTACAGTTGTTTTGGGACCCTGATTGGGAACATGTTCTTGCTGTTTTCTTTGTTTTTATTTTTACTGCTGGAAGTATACACAGCAAAACATAACCAATTCCACAGTTTCTACATGTACTATTCAGTGACATTAATTACATTCTTCAAGTTGTGCAACCATTCTCACCCTCCTTTTCTGAATCGTTCCCCTCCCCCCCCCATTAACATGAATGCTCTTTCTGTTTTAATTCTTCTAAAATGTTAGTCGATAAAGACTTGGAATGCTATTGATTTCTCAATGTGGGACTCTGAGATAACCTGTCTGATTCTTGTCCTCATTGTAGAAGGCAGCATAGCAGGGAGGTTAAGTGTTCATTCTCTAGGGCGAGCTTGCCTCGGTGCAAACTGCAGCTCTGTCACTGCACTGGCTGTGGCATGCTGAGGGACACCTCGGTAGCTGTTCCTTAGCCTCTCTGTGCTTCATCTTCTCTAAATATAAAACAGAAATAGTAATACAAAAACCACAGTTACAAAATCTAAATTATTCATTGGCAAAATTTGATCTAACCTGAAATGAGGCTGTATCTAGTCTTATTTTGGCTATCTAGTGTGAATAAGGAAAGAGCTCTGGAAGTAGATGGTTAAGGTTTTGATTACTAACTAGCCACTCCATGGAAGAAAGATGAGGCACTCTGTTTCCGTAAAGATTCCAGCCTTGGACACCCAACGGGGGTTGGAATCAACTGGACGGCAGGCAGTGTTTGGTCTGGTTTTTGAGTATGAATATAGGAGCCCTGGTGGAGCAGTGGTTAAAGCACTCAGCTGCTAACCAGGTTTGAGCCTGCCAGGTGCTCCATGGGACAAAGATGAGGCAGTCTGATTTCGTAAAGATTTACCAAGCCTTGGAAATCCTGTGGAGTAGTTCTACACTGTCCTATAGGGTCGGAATCAACTCGACGGCAGTGGGTTTGGTTTTTGGTTTAGTATGCATATAGGAGTCTGGGTGGTACAAGTGCTCTTGATAGGTTTCCAACCTAAAGGGTGACAGTTATAACCCGCCCAAAAGCTCTGCAGAAGAAATGCCTGGTGATCTGCTTCTGTAAAGATAGCACTAAGAAAACCCTATGGAGCATCTCTTCTGTAATTTATGAAGCCACTGCAAGTCAGGGCCAACTTGACAGCAACTAACAATAACAACAACAGTGTGACTATTCATCGATTTCACTGGAGAAACATTGACATTTGATTATTTAATTGTGGGGATGCTACCCCAGTTGAGGTGTTAGTAACATACAGGACCTACATGATTATGTCCTTTTCAAAAATCTAAAATTCTAAATTCTGAAACACATTGGTCTCCAAGAGTTTCTGGATCTGTAGTCCCACTTCATAGGGTTGCTGTAAGGATTAAATGTGTTAAATTATGTGAAGCACTTAAAAGAATGTCTGCTACATTGTAATAACTTAATAAATGTTGGTTATTATTATTACTATTACATATCTTTTCTGGGAGTTGAGAAATAGCCAATTTTTTTAGGTGAATGTCCCTAATTCATGTAGGGGAATGTCAGAGCTAGTGATTTGAGTCTAGACCGTGTACACACTAGGTGGTGGACATGCCAGGAGGCCTTGTGATAGGGAGGCGAGTACCTGACAGGGTTCTGGACCTTTCTGAGGGGGAAAAAAAATTGCATTCTGAAAGGAGAGTCAAGGACACAAGTTTAGTTCTAAGACTATGGGCCTGAGTGAAAGAAGTGATTCAGAGTATATCAGGGTATTTTTGGTGGTAACATCCCAGAGTCCTGTGAACCCTGGCCTGAGTCCCAGAGCAAGTAACTACTGATCCTGGTGACTCAGTGTCAAGCTGCGACCATCTACCACTACAGCATTCAGCCCTCCACTGGCAGTGAACACAGTAGGTAGGACCTTTGGTAGGCACTAACAAGGAGTCCAGGTGGTGCAAAGTTTAGGCACTTCGCTGCTAACAGAAAAGTCAGTGTTCTGTGAGAGACAGTACTTGGTGATCTGCTTACATAAAGATTACATTCTTAGAAACCCTATGGGACAGTTCTACTTTGTCCTATAGTCCCTATGAGCTGGGATCCACTCAACCACATACAGCAGCAGCAGCAGCAACAGGAGCACTTCTTATGGACAGTAAAAATCTTGCTACCCTTTGGGCATCTCCAGTGCCTGAAGGGGGCCAGAGGAGTTTGAGAAAGAGCAGGAACCAAAGAGATATTGTTTATTGAACAATATTGTGACACTCTATCCCTAACCTGTTATGACATGTGAAATGTAGGCTGCAGTTAAAAAAGTAGTAGAATGAATGAAATAAAGGAAAAAAAAAATGTTAAAAGTAAAAGAGATTATATTTGAGTTGTAACTAAATTGATCTCAAATCTGTGCTTTTCTGAACCTGATGTATCCGACAAATCATGCTACAACTCCCATGTACAAAGACACAGCGCAGCCTCTGCTTGCCGCCAGATAGCTAGTCCAAGAGATGGGCCAATAGACACAGACTTTCAAAATAATAAGGCAAGTGCTAGGAAGGGGAATTTTCCAGTTCATATGGGAATATTTGTATTTTTTCCAAGTAAAGCAGATGCCACTTTCAATGTGCTGCTCAGATGTTCTTTTCTTAGCAAGATTAAGGGTGGGTCAACTCAAATTGCAACATAGACACTGTTAATGGCAATACAGGGTTGTTAACACTGTAAATGTTTAATGATGAATGAGTCATATGTCAGGCTTTACTGTGACAAAAGGCTTCACTCTTTCAGCAAGAGGCCTAGTTCTGGCATGTTATTAATTTCTGAAGCTTAACTCCAGGGTAACTTGTTGTTGTTGTTATGTGCCGTCGAGTCAAACATGACTCATAGCGACCCCTCCTTGGGTTTCTGAGGCAGTATCACTACGGAAGTAGGATTGCCCAACCTTCCTTCCGAAGAGTGGCTGGTGGGTTTGAACCGCCAGCCGTTTGGTTAGCAGGCAAGTGTCTTAGCCACTATGCTACCAGAGCTCCCCCAGGGTAACTAGAGTTACTAAATTAATCTCTATGTTATTATAATTCCTTCCTTGTAATAGGAATTTCATTCCCCCCTCCCTAATTTCATATATTGTCTCAAACTTTAAAAAAACAAACAAATAAGAAAGCCCTTCTTACTTTGGGTAATGAGAAGTTTCTACAATAAAACTCTCAATCTCAAAATTTTTGATTTTGTAATGTAATTCATGAAAGAGCCAATGCTTCATGAAAAGTGGTTTATTGGGGGTAATTCAGTCAAGGAAGTATTACAGAAACCTGAAACCTGAGGAGGCAGCAAGGAGGACTCAAGGAAGGGCTGAGGGGAGCTGATGGAGCGCAGGAGCAAGGTCCTAACCTTTGAAGGGAATACGAAACTATCCAGGTCTGCTCTGAAACTGCACAGAGGGACTGAGTTAAAAACTAGATCATTGCTAGGACTGTGAAGCAGGAATTTGGACAGGCCTGAGAATCTAGCTGGTCTCTAGACACCAGAAGAGGCTCCAGATGGGCATCTGCTTAGGTGTTCCAGAGGACTATGACCGTTATGATGGAAGAGGCCATTAAGAGCAAGTAGAGGCAGAAAAGCAGGGTGTCCATAATGTGGCTGAACTGCACCCACAGGTCAACCAGGCACTGCTTCCGGGCCTCATGTTCCTGTTGGGTCCTTGTTGATTCTGGGCATCCATTTAACTCTGCCTCTCCATGATTAGGCATCTTCCCTGCCAACACTTCTGGCTCCTTCAGGCCTGTGGAGAGGATAGAAACTCATGCATGGGCTGGGAAGGTCCTCTCTGGGGAGGAAGGGTGTCAGGGAAGGAGGCAGGAGCAAAGGAGTGGAGGTATTAGAAGAGGGAGTGTGGGCAGTGCTGACTTCCCTTACCAGGTGGGTGGGTGGAAGTGGGACCCAGGCCCTTATTTCTTTTCTGGGGGATAGTGAGGGAGCATTTCCTTGGGCTGGTGCAGTGCAGCAGCAGGGAGTGGAGCCACTGAGGCATGGGTGGGGGCTCAGTGGTGGTCAAGTGCAGTAGGTAGGTGATGAAGATGGTCTCCAGCAGGCTGACCACCATCAGGGACAGGCACAGGGCAAAGTAGACACCTGGAGGGAAGGCAGGCCTATGTGAGGGCCAGAGTAACATCTGAGAACCTCTCGTTCCTTCTTTTCTCAGAGGACACTTATCCAGGATCCCTCACTTTCTGACATGGTTCCACTGGTCCCTCTCCCCTCTCCCACCTTGCTTTTGTTCTCCTGATGGAGGGAGGGGACATACTGATGAGGGGAGTTCCAGTGGCAGGAAGCAAGTCATTCATCATGAGCAGGAAGACATTGTAGCCCAGTAGAAGTGTCATCTTAAATGGGACACGATTCCCACTTTCTGCAGGCAGGTAGAAGCTGAGGGTGTCAATGGCAACCAGAAAACCACTGGGTGCCAGAAGGTTTATCACATACAACCTGGACCTGCGCCTGATAGCCACCTGGTGGGAGGACAGAATGACAAGTGAGAAATAGATGGGAGGCTGACCAGCCAGGTAAGAGCAAGGGTTGGGATTTTATCCAGACCAAATTGTGCAGTCAGGAAACACCACTTCATGTTCCTTTCCCTGTCCTGTCTCTCCATCCAAAGGCATCTTACTTACCACAGTCTGCCTTTCCCAGTTTGATTCTGCCTTGCTCTTTTTCTTGAAAACGTATCCTATTTGTTCTTGGCCCAAGGTGTCAGCTTTGTCCACTTAAACTTTTATCCCTACCAATGTTCTCATAATAGGACTGTGGATATCATGTGCATATCTCTTTGTCTCTGCAGACAAAGTTTGGTTTCTTCATCAAGGTCTGATCATCTGAGCTTTAGTGACTTTGCCGGTGGACATTAAAGGCCAGGGAGCTCTGGTAGCATAGTGCCTAAGGCACTTGACTGCTAACCAGAAGCCTGGTGGTTCAAACCCACCAGCCACTCCTCGGAAGGAAGATGGGGCGATCTACTTCTGTAGTGATACTGCCTCAGAAACCCAAGGAGGGGTCACTATGAGTCGGGTCCAACTCGACGACATGTAACAACAACATTAAAGACCAGGTGGGAGGGACAGCAAGATAGTGGCATCTATTTTAGGGCCAGTAGGGTTTGCAATTATAATATCCCTAAGGCAACTTTTCATAACTTTATATATATATAGATAGATAGATAGATAGATAGATAGATAGATATCTTCCAAAAGTATTGATAGCCTTTAGGGGATAGGAGGATTACCCTCATTATGAATCACTGGCATAGGATCTTTGTTTTTTCCTCAAGGGAAGATTTATTCAACAAAACTTAATGGCTGCAAATAATGTGCTAGGTACTGTTCTAGTTATTGGAGATTAATCAGTGGGGAAAAAAGTGACTAAAATCTCTGCCCCTCTAGAACTAACTTTCTGGTGGTAGAGCTTAAAATCTAGTAGAGGACATAAGCTATGAATCTAAGGAGAAGATCACATCCATGGCCCTTGAGCTCACATAAAATATGATCTGGTCATACTGCTTGGTGTCCACAGTCATCTTCTTTGCTCTTTGGTGGATATTCAGAAGTACCCATTCCCCGTTGCTCTGAATGAGATTCAGTGATGTGTTTGAAATCTCCTGCACTTCCTTCTCCATTCCTAGGACCATGTCCTCCACTGCAAAGGAGACCCAGACAACTTAGTCTCTCCCATGTTCTCCACCCCGTTGCCCAGACTGTTGGATTTCAAACCATTTAGCTTCTACACTTCTTAAGTGAAATTCCCTCACTGGCTCCATTTTCTGTCCTTTTCTTACTCAAAACCCTTTCTCTGCCTCTTAACAGACAACTACACCCAGTCTTCACTTACTGACATGGTTAGATTACAAAGACCAGGTCATTATGCAAAAATCAGCATTATGTAAAAATGGAGGTTGACTACATCAGTTCACAAAATGGAGGATGACTACATCATTACATAACTGTCAAATTACTTCACTACATAACTTTCAAACCACTAAGAATCATAGCCCAGCCAAGTTGATACATAACCTTAACCATCACAGCCAGTGTTCACTCTTGCCTTATACCTTGGCATTCGTTACCGCCAGATATATATCATTAATGCTCAAGGTAGTTGGCTCATAGATTTTTTTTTACTATTGTAAATGCAAAATGTTGAATAATGAGATAGTCAATAAGTGAGGAGTAGGTGTATAATGAGCCTCACCTACCTGTGTAGATGAAAGAACCAAAGGTAAGTGTGCAGTTCTGTTGGTCAAAGGGGAAATAGAAGATGTCCAAGTTACAGATGCTGACCACCTGCATTGGCTTATCATATTTGATGCGACCTTCACTGTTGACATAAGTCATGAGACCCGTAGATGTCTGATCCACATTCATGCTGTATGTCAGAAGGAGTGGAAAGAAAGTCCTATGGGTTTCCCATCAGTTTTGGGCTCTGGTGGTGTAGTGCCTAAGACATTTGACTGCTAACCAGAAAGCTGGGGGTTCAAACCCACCAGCTTCTCCTCAGAAGGAAGATTGGGCAATCTACTTCCATAGTGATACCGCCTCAGAAACCCAAGGAGGGGTTGCTATGAGTCGCATCTGACTTGACTGCAGTGAGTTTGGTTTGCTTTTGGTTCTCCTTCAAGTCACTGCACTCCTATGCTCCAGCCCTATTCATATGACTTTCCCCTTCTACCTATCACCGTACTCTGGGAGTTTTTTAAGCTAGTTAAGTCAGATCTTGCTCTTTTCTAAGCTGAGTCTTTGTGAGATCTCCATTGGTTACAGCATGCCCTTCCCTGATGGGGTTCCTGTTGGTTTTTTTTTTTTTTTTTTTTCTTTCTTTCTTTCTTTTTGAGCCCTGATACTCACAACTCTTTGATGAAGATATCTGGAAGCCATAGGTTCTCAGTTGTCATGCTGAGCTTCCTGATCCCCCCACATTCCTCTGGGTTCCACCTGATGAATGGATTGTACCAGATCTAGAGAAGACCATGAAATGAGATAAATAGAGGGAAGGAACTAGTTTTAGTCTTGCTCTTTCTCCTGCACGTTCCTCAATTTTTCCCCTTTTTTCACTCATTTCTTCACTTTCCCACTCCCTCTCTAGTGACAGTTGTCACAATGTCACTAAAGAGATCTTACCTGCCTCCACTTTTCTCTCACTGTTCTCAAGGGAGACCTTGAGCTTGGCTTTGACTTCCTTGGGAAGGAGCCACTTAAGTATTGGCTTCCATGACCTTGGTTTACCCATCTTCTCCCTGTCCCATCTCTATCCTCCTAAACTGGCAGCATAATCAGAAAGTTTTGTGTTTTCACTGTTGCTGTGACTCTGTTTTAACTTGTCTAATTTGTGGGTATTCTCATCTTTATCCAACGTAATCTGAAAAATTGGACCTAGGAGTGGAAAAAGGAAGGTAAAGGGAAACTGAGTCTATCATACCACATTTAGCCACAGGAATGATGTCATCAGCTGAAGTTGTGCATCCTGGAAAAACAATTTCCACTCAAGATTATTAACTCCATGAAGTCAGATCTAGTGCTCCCACCCTTATTCATTTCCAAGGCTGTGCCAATTCTGATTCTCAATCATAAGCCACTGAAAAATGAGGTCAAAACAATTCAGAATACATGGAAAATGTAAATTACAAAGATACAGTATGAGAGTCCCCTGGGGATAGGCTTTTTGTGGAGTATTTCAAAAAGTGACAGATTTTACTTGCAGAAATGTCACTGCAGCATTCTTCTGCATGTCTTCCCACCCCATAGATTGAATCCTTAATTTTACAAAGTCCAATCAAACAACCTACTGCTCACCAGTAGATCATTGCAATGTTGAGTCAAGACTTACCACTTCTAGAATGGCAGACAGGGTGAAGGAGATGTTGACATGAGTGGGGATGCTGTAGTTGACAACTGGACGGAAGGCCTTTCTGTCAAACACTGCTTGGAAGGCAGTAAGGTCCACCCCATGTTGGTCAAACCCTGAACAGTTGATGGTGAAAGTGTCACCTCTTCCTGTAGAGAAAAGAAAGCCTGTAAGATGGGACCAGGACCTTTTTGTTCCCTCTGTGAGAAGTGTGACAGGGTTGGATCCTGGGAAAAGTTTCTGCAGAGAGAAAACAGGGGGGCACTGGGAGAAGCATGTGAGCCCCTCCTCTCTGAGCCAGAGAGGATGGACTGGTCTGGTAGGCAAATGGTGGGAGTTGAAGAGGTGGGCTGAGTCTGGGCTTTTTCCTCAAGTCCATTGTTTCTGTCCCCATGCAAAACTTGTCCAGATGTATATGCAAACTCAGTCCTGGCCACCACTTTACAGTGTCCTGCTGTGTTTTTAACAAGCTCACCACAAACCTATCCACCTTCACTCTGTGTCCTTCCATTGTTCACCTCTGTCCTTGAGCCATCTGGGTGATGTCACTGACAAATTTTGCTATCACAGTTCTTCTCATTGTATTAATAAGTCATGCTGTTGCTGTTGTTGTTATGTGCCTTCGGGTTGGACCCGACTCATAGCGACCCATCCTTGAATTTCTGAGGCAGTATCACTATGGAAGTAGATTGCCCAACCTTCCTTCCAAGGAGCGGCTGGTGGGTTTGAACCACCAGCCTTCTGGTTAGCAGTCAAGTGCCTTAGGCACTATGCTAGATGATCATAAATTCATGAGGAGAGAAGTAATCAGGTAGGTAGTATGGGCCTTAAGAAAGAAGCTAAGTTTTAAGCTTTCATGCTTATTTACTGTGTCTCTACAATGTGATATGATTGTGCTCTTCTAAAACTCAGTAGTCATCATCCATGATACTATTTTAAAGAGAGTTCCTCAATGCCCATCTTACACCTAACCCTTTCCTTGCCACACTTTTTGGAGCAGAGCAGAGAATTATGTGGTAACATCTGGTAGAGTCTTTTTTTGATCTATTCTGATCTTATACTATTCCTCATTGCTCATTTTCAATAATGTATAAGAAAAATAGTGTAGATTGGGAAAATACTGAAAAAGTTTCCCTCTTTCACTATCGTTCTTCTCATTTCTTTCCCCTTAGTATATGCCCTAGTCCATTTCATTTAGCTTCAAGAGAGCCGAGAAAGAATTATTTTCTTCTTCTTAACATCAGTTGATACCCAGAAACTATGGAGGTAGACTATATGCCTGGAAAGAGAGAGATGAGGGGAAGAAGAAGAGGCCAATAAAAGCATGGGGAGTGGAGAAGTAGATAAGAATATTGACTAATTGTTAGTTCCCCAGGAAGAGAGATGTACAAAGCTGTTGGTGCCATGGAGTTTCCATTTTCACCAAAACAAAAATCCAGTCATTGGCGGTCTAGCAATAAGAAAACTTGGCCTGAATTTATATGGCTGCTTTGCTCAGGCTGTTGTCCCATCTTACCTTGAAGCAAAAGGTGAAGAATGAAGCAGAGGAGGAATCCTTCCCCATGGGTCCAACTTCTTTTCATCTTCCTCTCCTTGGCTCTTCTCTGGGAACTTAGTGATGTTATTGACCTTAAAAGACCACAGGCCACACCTCGAGCCCTAACTTTGAATAATACTGGTGTCAGGTGACATTACCCACCTCTCTGACAAGCACCCCTGGTCACAGGAGGAATACCCTATGCCCTGACTAGGCCTGTATCTAGTCTCCAAAAGCAATCTAGAAAATCCTTTTGGAGAGGAGGAAGCAAAAGTCTTTGTCACTGGAGCAATGCTAATGGCATCCTCATGCTTCAAAGTCACTCTAGCACATCATTGAAAAGGCATCTAATGATTGCCATTGCCTTCAGGTGCTACATGTACTTATTTTAATCCTGCTGCTACCTTTCAAAAAGAATTGGGGGTCTCCTTTTTTATAATTAACTTAAGACACTGACATTTTCAAAATGATTTCAATTCTGGCAAGTCTACCTTTTTTTTTTTTAGAAAATAAAAAAATAATTTTACATCTATTCATGTTATTGTTGTTGTGTGCTTTTGAGTTGATCTGACTCACAATGACCGCATGCAACAGAGTAGAATTGTTTTCTTGACGGTAATCTGTACGGAAGCAGATTACCAGGTCTTTTTCCCACGTTGTGTCGTTATATCATCTTATAATGTGCTCTTTTGAAAAACAGAGTTTATTTTTTAGAGCAATTTTAGATTTACAGAAAAATTGGCAGAAAGTACAAAGAATTCTCTTCTAACCCTTCATGTCAAGTCTTGCCTTTTGATTTTTTGCTTGTGTCAAAAACGATTAGAGCCACGTCTACCAAATGAGGTGAATAGTGGGGTAGAAGGGAAGTGGCAGAAGTAATAATGTTTTTAGTAAAAGTTGACATATGCTTCAAAGAAGAGGTCATGAGCTATTGGCCTACAAGTTTATGTTATTTTTGGCCCTAGTCATGTTTTCTGTTTTAAGTAGTCTTGGTGGTACAGTGATTTAGTACTCAGCTGCTGACCACAGGGTCAATGGTTCAAACCCACCAACCACTCCTCAGGAGAAATATGAACCAATCTACTCCCATAAAGATGTACAGCATTGGTAACCCTATGGGGGCTGTTCTACTCTGTCCTGTAGGGTTGCTATGAGTTGGAATCAACTTGATGACAGTGGTTTTTGTTTTGTTTCAATGGTTTTAAGAAATTATTTGTCGTTTATCTATTGCAGGAAATTTTCTTTGTTGGTTACCAGAGGTGGGAGGGGAGGGGAGAGAACGCTGTTAGATAAATAGTGATAAATATTGATTTGGGTGAAAAGAAGGGCAATGTACCAAATGGGAGTGACCAATATGGCACCATTGAGGATGAGAAAGACATAGAGAGGTACATGGGAAGTACAGACAACAAATATGAACCCTTTTGCATATACAGTACTGAGTTGTCAGTGAAGGCAAACAGGGGTATATGGACGGATAGGTAGGTGGACAGGCTAAACAATTATTGTTGTTGTTGTTATTTGCCATCGAGTCGGCCCTGACTCATAGCGACCCCTCCTTGGGTTTCCGAGGCAGTATCACTACGGAAGTAGGATTACCCAACCTTCCTTCCGAGGGGTGGCTGGTGGGTTTGAGCCACCAGCCTTCTGGTTAGCAGTCAAGTGCCTTAGGCACTATGCTACCAGAGCTAAACAATTAGGTATGTCTAAATGGGGAGTGTATCCAAGATCATATATAGGGTTGGCAGACAATGGTCCTATAAGTTTATGTGAGTGATCAGAATTCCCAGGTGTATAGTAGAGCTGACAAGGGGCAAGGTTATGGTCATTGCTTGGTCACAGCCAGCTACCCAGAGGGACCGAGTAGTTGATCCTGCGGGCTTGGGACCATAGTCGCAGGGGACATCAAGCTCAATTGGCATAACATACTATACAAAACATTGTTCCACCTCCTACTTTGGCGAGTAGCGACTGGGATCTTAAAAGCTAGCAAGCTGCCATCTAGATGCAACAATGGGGGTCTCCTCGTCAAGAAGAAAGAAGAAAACCAAATGAATGGAAACAATCAGTCCTAGCGACTGGTACACCATCTGATCTGCAACCTATACAACTATGAGACCAGAAGAACTAGATGGTGCCTGGCTACCACTGTCATCCACTTGGAAGGGATGTAGGAGATCCTGCATAGAGAGGGAGAACAATGTGGAACAAAACTCAAAATCATTTGGAGGCAAAAAAAAAAAAAAAAAAAAAAGAAGGTGGGGACCAGGTTTGCTGGTCCAATAGAGCCTGGTGGAACCACTGAGACTATGGCCCCTAGCTGCCCTTCAGGTCTGGAATTGAACCCACACCTGTGGTTTCCAGCCAAACAAAATACAAGCAAGTGAGTTAAACATTTACCTCAAGTAGACACACACCCTGGAGAGAACAATCATGGGAGAAGGAAGGGCTGCTTATGCACAGGGAGACAGCTCAGGGCGCAGAAAAGTATGGAGGGAAGGACACTGGGAAGAGGTGGCTATGGGGAGGAAGAGGGAGGGGAGCTGTTGCACTGTAAATTTTGGTCAATGACATGAGACAAAGTATATGTGAACTGCTGAATGAAAAGTGAATTTGCTGTGTAAATCTTCACCCAAATCAAAATAAAATTAAAAAAAAAAAAAGAAATTATTTGTCAACATTTAAAAATTGAAAGATTTCACATCAGAACTATGGTTCTGGCTTCATTAAAAGAATGGGAAGACCTAGTAACACCTGGGTCCCATTTCTGCTTGACAACAATCTGCCAGAGCTACTGACATGGTTACACTTTTTGGGTGGAGCATACACTTTGTGATTACCACAGTCTCCATCATCCCCTGTTGTCTTAGACCTGACCAGTTTCCCTTAACTTTGTTCCTTGCTTGGCCTTTGTAGAATTGGAGTTTGCCTTTGAATGTTAGACTCATTTTCTTGTGTGATTCTCAAATAGCTTGGCAAGTAATTTAAAAATACCATGCTGTGCCCCAGGTGATCATAGACCTCGATCGATTAAGGGTGTGTAATCATTTGGATCATGGTGGAAATCAGATGGCATATGATTGCTAACCAGAAGGCTGGCAGTTCAAACCCACCAGCCACTCCTCAGAAGGAAGACTGGGCAATCTGCTTTCGCAGTGATACTGAGTCGGAAACCCAAGGAGGAGTTGCTGTGAGTAGGATCCGACTCGACAGCAGTGAGTTTGGTTTTTGGTTTTTGGATGGTTAAGGGGACCAGGGTCATCAGTGGTTTAACTTGCTTTACTCTAGAATTATTTCTAGCAAGCCTTCAGGGAGGGTAATTAGTGGCTTGGAGAATGAAGACAGATTAATTTTCTTCAATGAAGAAGTTTACACCCTGAGGTCACATGTTGGAGTAAGAAAGATCTAAGACCAAACCATGTTTATACAAGAATCATGTCACTCTCTGACAAACTCTGTTTCCTTATCTCCAAGACTGGAAGGATAAAACCTCTCTTGCTGAAGTTTTAGTGTTTTAGAGATAATGGAGGTACAGTGCCTTGCTCATTCTAAGCAACTGACAAATTGCAGGAGAAATAACTACAAAAGTGGCAGTAGTTGTAGTTGTTCTTGTTATCCTGGCTAGTCTAAGTTTGTACAGGTTGCTTCCGCCTGAAAAGAATCTAGACTTAAAACGTCTGAGTTGAATGAAGCAACCTCATTT